GGGGGAAACCCCTTGAGTTCGGGTACCAGAAAGGAGTGCTGTGATTTTGAGTACCAAACAAACAACCCGACCGCAAAGTGCAACCAAACCAAACGTTTCACCACCCATACAGGTCTAGCACCTTCTATGGACTGTGGCCCCGCCCACTGGGACTTTGGGTGAACGAATCATTTGGATAGAGTTACATCTATACGCTACAGTTCCTTGGAGCCAACGGCTAAAAGGATTCAGCGCTGGGCTTTTTCCTGATCACTCGCCTTTACTACTCGGGTACCAAACAAAGGGCGCTATGTGCTCGGGTATGAAATGAGAGGGTGGAGGTAAGTCGATCGTTGAAAATGGAACGATGCGAAGAACAGATCCTCACAAGTACCAGCTACTTGATCTGTCTATATAAGCCAGAACGAACTCGGTGGGACGCGGTGTTTCATATTGTATTGCCTTGTATTCCCTTTATGTTTTTGTGTTGCGCGTTTTGTCCTGAGGGCCGCATGAGGTCCAATTGTGGTAACGGTAAGAAATGTATACGACTTAATGGACCGGGACATTTCGTACCTATTACAAATATTTCCTTAGTAGACATCTTTCCCATCTTACTATCCTTTTCTTCGTTTTCTTTGTTTTCTTCTTTTCTTGATATTTTCTCTTCAGTCTTTAATTGGTTGATTCTTGTGATTTTTTTTTTTTTGAACAGTTATTTGTTGATTATTGAGTTCAACATATTTTCTGCCGATCTTCCTCTCACGTTGCGTTATTTTTTCTTTTTTTGAGTGTTGTAATGTTCGGGAGGAGGAGTGCCTGGTTGTCCGCGGGGGAAGTACTCCGGCAGCAGTGGGAACAAGTTCAATGTCAAGCAAGACAAACCAGTCACAAAACAATTCTATTTCCAATCATCACATTAAATATCACGGAGGGGAGAACTTGAGCCGAGCCGAGAGACGGGACATTTGCATATCACAGGGGACGAAGGGCAACTGGGCAAGGCGAAGGGAGTTTAGCCTCCATCTTTGTTTCCTTGCTATTCGCTCCTTCTTCCTTTTGCAACAGTGGAGCTGCTAGTGCTGCTTAATGTGTTTTTTGTTGCAGATACAAGTTGTTTTATATGGGCGTTGCGTGGGTATTCGAGACGGACAAGAGTGCGGTAAGCGTGGAGCGTGCGGTGGAAGGCGAGGGTGCTGTGCGTAGCGGTATTTTCACAGTTGATTCGACACCATACAAGCCAAGCGACAATGTCCAGGGTGCAATCAATCAGGTTTTCATCCTGCACCACTCACGTTTCCCGCAAAGTACGTTCACGATTGTACCCAGCGAGAAGCAACGGCATTGCCCGAGGGCAATTTCGGATCGTGGATTCGATTGTATCCTGAGGAAGCTGAAATCGGGCCTGGTCCAGGATGTGGCGGGGAAATTTGTCGTCACCGGGCACGAATACACCCTCCAGGATTTCATCGTTCGCGCTGGCAATGCCTCGATGGGTGTGATCAGCAAAGGGGTGATCGTTGAGGTCGAATATGCACCATCCTGTGTCGCATCGCAATGTAGCAATTTCTTGCACGAATTTGTCGCCACATTCTTCCCGGATCACACGGCCACCGCCGAGAAGCTCTCGGCCCTGAGAAAAGCACAACCCGAATCATACAGTGCCCTGGATACACTGCACCAGTACTTGGACATTTTCCAGAATATGAGGAAGAGAACATCATAAACTGTAGCGCCACCTCGCCGGTGAATTTGATCTCGAAAATGAAGCAAATTTTTTGAGTTGATTTATGAAATAAGGCAAATTTTGAGTTGTTTCACAAAATGAGGCAAATTTTGAGTTGTTTTACGAAGTAAGGCAAACTTTGAGTTGTTTTACAAAATGGGGCGATTTTGAGTTGCTTCACGAATTGTACTTCAGATTTTGAGTTGTTTTAAGAAATAAGGCAAATTTTGAGTTGTTTTATGAAATGAGGCAAATTTTGAGTTGTTTTAGGAAACGAGGCAAGTTTTGTGTTGTTTTACGGAACGAGGCAAATTTTGAGTTGTTTTATGAAATGAGGCAAATTTTGAATTGTTTTACGAAATGAGGTAAATTTTGAGTTGTTTCACGAATTGAGGTAAATTTTGAGTTGTTTTACGAATTGGTTTTTTTTATTATTAATACGGTGTGCATCCTTCTTGTAAATTAACACTTAAGTGATGAAAATTGATAAAAATGCCGAAATTATAAAAAGACCGCCCGAGCAGTCATTGTGGGTATCCCATGTTAGTGATGTTATTGCCATGCTTCCACAGGCCGACTGCAGCTATGCCAGACCCTTGGATCCTGTGTTTTATACCTCCTTTAGTTAGCAAATACCGCTTGGTTTATATATTAGCTGCAAAAAAATATCACAGTTTTGAATGAGGTGAAATCCAATCTAAGCCATTAAAAAAAAGAAAAAAAAAAACTTGGCGTTTTTCGTAGGGATTATGCTGGCCTACGGCACATGTATTATAGTTTTGTTCGCTTTATACATGATTTTCACATGTATTTTTGGTTTTTGTTATGTTAAAATCTTTCAAGACATTGTGTTTCTGTAATCTCTGAAGCGTTTCATTCATTTCTACTAATTCTCCTACAGTCTTGTTCTGAGCAAATAAACCTGCTCTAGGGAGCCGAAGCTTTCCACAGAGTTGTTCGAGGAAAAAAACACTAAATGCTGGAGGTGGAGAGGGAGTACTTTTATACCCGGGTGAACACAGATTAAAGAGATTGTATAACTCTGAAGAGGATAGGTAGATCGTCCAAAAATTAAACAAGAGACCGGGGGTACTGCGTCATAATGATGTTGTAACAAAAAGTAATAAATCATGTAACAAAAAGAAGTAATAAATCATTATTTGACAAAAAGGTATATTATAACGAAAGAAAGTAGCATTAATTTGTGATTAGTCAGCTGGATAGAGATGTTTCGGTCCTTAAAATTGCATATGTTCTTGTTGAGCATCAAAGTTGGACCTCGTCAGTACGACTGTTTTGGGGTCATATTATCTTCAGTATTTATCAAATAACTTTTTGGATAATGGAAAAGAAGAGAAACGGTGGGATCTGATATAAAGCCAGAATTCAAATCGAAAAAGAGGGTAATAAATAATGAGAAGCTCAGGAAATAATAAAAGGGGATAAACATTTTCTAAGTAAAATAACAACTGCAGAATGCAATACCCCTATCAGACATCTTAAGCAGGATATTAAATCGTCAGCATATGTAAATTTATCTAAATTTTATATACTTATGCTTTATTTACACAAACGTCGAGTGATATGCAAATAAATAGTAACGCGCACCAGAATAGCCGGTGCGATCATGCGTTTTGTGCAATTCAACCCATCGAACGATTGCCTATTAATAATTTTCACTGCTTTGTACTTTACTCTATGCATAGTTCACACAATGGAAAATAGTTAAAAATTTCACGCATCAGCGCATGAAAGCTGAATTCGAGACCTTGAAAGGTGGGTATTTTTATCCCGAGTTAATAGTTTACCCACCAAAATTCTCACGAAGCCGAAAATGATGCTCGAGAGCGCGGGGACGCTGATTTTGAATAGGCAAGGTTGAGCGTAAGCAGGGGGTCATTACTCCAAAATTTCAACCTCCTAGACTCCGTGGTTCTCGAGATAATAATTTACCCGTAAAAAGCTTTCACGGGGCCGTACGTGTTACCCACGGGTACGGGGAAGCTAAATTCAAATTTGCGAGGTCACACGTGGGTGGGGAACGTTCCCCTAAATTTTCAGCTTCCTAGTTTTTGTGGTTCCCGAATTGAAAATTGCGGATAAGTTGCTGCGGAGACACACACACAGACAACTCTGTGGCAACATGCGTTTTGTACTGCTGTTACACAGCACAAAACGCATGAAAATAAATGGAGTATAAAACCAGAAAGTAAATATAAATCGAGTAAAAGTTTCCGATATTTTTTGAATTTGATTTGAAAATTTTTGAAAAATGGAATCTATAACGAGAAAAGAATGATCGACATGCAGCTACTTTTCGCATACAACTCCAGAAAGACATAGAAATTCCACCGGTTAAAACGAAATAGTTAAAAATCTTTATTATTTTTAGAAGATGTCTTTCTTCTTTTTCCGATTATCAATCTCAGCAGTGAGTTTTTGCTGTCTGTTAACCAGCCGCTGTATTTCATCCTGACATTTCGAAAGACTTTCCTCCAGTTTCCTAGCAGTAGGTCGATCACGTTGATTTCGCACAATACCTTCACGAAGTTTGCGTTTTTTGGCCATCAGCTCTTTCAATTCCTTCTCTAAATTCAAAGCTCGGACACTAAGTCCTTTTGACGAACAATTCTGAAATGAATGATCCATTTTTTCTAGATTTTAGTCAAACAAAACATATTTTAGTCCGTCGCTATCTCCGTTATTTACTTTTTTTTTTGAGCGCCAGTAAACTGTTTTATCAAATTTTACAAAAGAAAATTCACTGTTCTTAAAAGAAAACCCACAAAACTGTCCAAAATCCACAAGGCGGATCGGACTATTATTATCGTTTTCACTATTTTGCGAAGATGTTACTAAACGCCTTTGAATAACAATACTACTAGAAAAATATGGAATAACTGTTAATTCATAGGCTGATTCACCAGCAATACAGATAACAACTTTTCCAGTTGTTTTGACCAATAATGCACTGACTATGTTGGTCAGCCTGTTGGCGATCCTGACGTTCGTTTGAATTTGGATTATTGAATCATTAACTAACAGCAGTTTGCAGCAATCAGGTTGACTCCGGAAGCCTAAATTGCGAAGGCGCGACAGATTACAGCATAAAAGAAGGAGATAAGAGTGAGACGTTTTAGTCCATTAAGTCATATACGCCTTAATTCAACATCGCGACAGGACCTCGTTAGTATGACGGTCGTAGTGCTTGATTACTTATGGAGGCAAATTTTGCCATTTTTCAGAATTAATCTAAGAAAGTGACACGCACCAACCTGTAGTGATTTTTCCTCTTTGCATTCCGCTGTATTTGAAGCTTCGGCGTGATCTCTGTTCAGCTTAACATTCAGTAAGTCGAACAAATCGGTTGGTGTTTGCGTTTCGTCCCTTAGCTGTTTTGCAACAGTTTGCTTCACGCGCTTCTGACGTTTTTTGATCCCATCAATAACTTTTCTGTTCTTTGCATTCATACATGCATCCAATGATTTACCTTGAAATTCAGTAACTTTAATGACATTCAGAAACAAAGTGGCATTATATACTGTCAGCGCTCTGGAAGGGTCTGCCTGAACGACTAATGGGCACAGGTGGATGAAAAAGGCCTAGAAAAGAGAAGAATGGAGAAGTTGCCAGCTTTATTAATGTAAAAAAAAAATGCGACAATGAAACAAAGGATTTTCGAGTGGTATCTACGCAGCGCAATTCAATGAAATGTGAAAATGCATATGTATGTCTTTACAAAACAGCATGAGTGTAACGCGCTCAAAACCAAGCAAAACTGAGGAAGGTGTTGTTGCAGAAAACCCACGAAAAGCCGGCCAAGAAACCGCCAAAAAGAAAAAGAGGTGTATTTTGCCTTGAAAGATGGATACACAGTAAATGTGTTGCCAGGCTGAATCTGGAGTACAAAGACCAGTGGTGTAGTGGTAACGCATTGCATCGGGGCGTAAAGAGGAGTGGTTCGATTCCTCCCCGGCCCAGAACAATTTTCGAGAAAGGGTTCCGCTCACAAAAGGTGTGCTAGAATTAGACGTATAGGATTTTAACAGTAAAAACATTGAAAAAAAACCTGCAATTGATAGTATACTTTTTGGGAAAAGCACTGGCTGTATAGCTTGCACGATTCCATCTGATTTTCGGCCAAGACCTTCACCAGCACGATAGCCCATCTTCAACAACAGTTTCATGCCAATTCCACGAGTGTGCTTCTCCCAGTGACCAATATCGCCAATTCCTAAGTTTTCTTGCGGCTCTTGCTTCAGCTCTTGCCACGAAGCTGATGAATTTGATGCAGTAGGTTCGTCTACAAACACACTAATATCACATTACTTACATACCGATTTAAACAATGAACAGAAATTTCCGCACAATCCTCATTCTCTTATTTACAATAGTTCATGGCGCAGCATTCAGCTCGGTGCTATCGAAGGCTTTTTTGTAAATGGCGAATAGGACAGCGCGAGACAGCCGACGCCATTTTGCGGCTCGTCTAATGATTTCCGTAAAAAATACACTCCAGTATCTAGCATTTTCTTTTGTTTCTATTCATAAAAGTTCCACTAGTTAATTAATGAGTAGCCTCGTGAACAGTTTGCAAATGTAAAAAAGAGCAGGAAGTTCAGGTGGAAGTTTTTCAGTTCTTCCTTAACGCCTCTTTTATGTAGCTGAATGATTTCTGTGTTTGACCTCGCGTAGAGGGTGAAAAATGTTTTCTTTTTTTCTTTCATGTTTTATTAGTTCAAATCTGAAAGATGAACCTTCGCTATCGTTAAAAACTGAGTCAGGAACCGGGAAAATTTTATTGCGATCCACGCCAATTTCCTTTCCTGTTGTTAGCGATCGAACAGCAACTTTCATATCATCCACTGCAACAACGCGAGCACTGCTCCATAGCTTGTTTTCACTTTGTACGAGTACAACTGAACCCTCTTTTACTGTCCTAAAAAAGGAAATGTAAGTGGATTTCTCCTAAAACTAGATACTGACATCCGCACTTCTCAAAAAAGAAGGAATATATCCCAGTTCCGTTATCAATTGCCAAAACTTCGACTCCTTGCAATCATTAAATGGCCAATACTCCGGAATTTCGAAACTAATTGCAGATGTCTTAAACGTAGCCTCCTGCAAAAACTGCTGTGCACAGTAGGGAGTCGAACCATTTCCCCTCACGTCCAAACATGGCCTACTACCCACGACACCACCGGCCCTTGTGTTTTGTCCGCTTTGCTGGAGCACCTATATTCTGTTTATGTGACATCCTCCGATGCGCTTTGTACCGTCTGGCTGCTGCACCTTACGCAGCACACCCTCTCAGCATGAGCCGGCTTTTCGCGGGTTTCTCGTGACAGCACGGTCTGGTTTTTTGATAGTAAATTAGAAATTTTTCCAACTGTTTTGGCCGACGCCGCCTTAGCCGATGACTAGTGCTGTGTCCTCCCAGCTCATCAGTACTGCATCACCCACAGGCAATTTGGACATTTCTTTTTGATTAACAGCTCCCTTGACGAAAAGCATTTGGCAAAGCTTTTAGTCGTTTCGAGATGTCCTTTATGTATGCTGCTGCCGTTTCTAAAGCACGATACCTTGTTGGCCTATTTATACTTTTTAAATTTTTTTCCTGACAAATTATTACCAAATTTAGCTTACAGGATGGATAACAAACGGAGCATCCCCACCTTAAAATTCTAAAAACAGATATGACATAGAAAGGGTAGAAAGGGTTATGGAGGCCCAACCAAGAAGTGATCATTTCAAATAGGAATGTCTGCTTTGTAGTAGACGAGGACAGAAAACTTACCAACTGTCTGGTCTTTCATATTCCTGAAGCTCTGAAAATGGAACAATTTCGCCATGTGAAAAACGACATTCATCGCCATAGGTACAGCGATCGTCTAAAAAATATTCGCATGGTTTCATTGCCATTTCCATTGGATGGCCATAAAGTACTTTTACCTGAAAAAAAAACATGCATTATTCAATTTTTTACGCTTTTTTTTTTCAAAAAATACCGGGTGATGTGATCCTTTTTTCTCCAATGTAAAACGACGAAAGTGCCATCAATGTTTATGTTATGTTTTCCGAAGAAATCAAAGTAAACTGTTAAACAAAAACCTTAATAGTGCTATCATCTGAATCGGAATTCTCCACAAAATCTAAAATTACAGCATCGTGAAAGCGAACTGCCTGGTCAACGAGACGTTTGTACGGGGCAAGGCAATGCATGCCAATCAGTTCACCAGAATCTTGCAGCTCACCACTTGACGAAGGTTCATCGCATACCTCTGCTGTGTCAGTTTCTGAAACAATTGTGTACAGATGCAAACTGCTGAACTTATATCATTCACAAACACAGCCACAAACAACAGATTTCAGGCAAATGCTTGCTGGATATTGAAATTTGCAAGTCTAAGAACATCACTGTACCTACTTGCGTCGAAAAATGCCGTTATTTCATCATCTACAGTTCAAAATGAGAGACAAATACAATTGGAATATTCAGTATTTGTTAGTGAAAATAATTAAGTCGCATACATTTCTTACCATTACCACAATCGGATCTCGCGATTGCCCACGAATCACAGGTTTTAAGCAGCCGAACGCTGCTCATCAAAATTTCCAGTTCAACCGTATGGATTCCGGTCACAAAGAAAAAATTCAACACACTATAGACAACAAACAGTCACAACAGCATACCTGATAAAAGTGTGATAAGTTCGATCAAATCAGCCCGTGAATCCATCAAAATATTTCTGCGCTGAAGATCGGTACATGTCTGGAGCTCTGCGTCGATTTGTTCAAGCTAAAAATGCTACATAAGCTTTGGCAGTTTCAATCATTTGCAAATTTTCAGGAAATTTTTCAATTTTTCAAAGAAAATTAGGCCAGTAATCTTAACTATTACATCCCTCTTTTGGGAGTTTTTTGTCTTTTTCGAAGTATAGGGGATCTCTGGATTCAGGCAATTTTCAAATCTCCTGCTAACTTTTGCTATGACAACATCTCTGCATTTATTAAATATGCCCAAAAAAGATGTCCCGCTTCCCGCGTTCAACGATTTTTTAGAAAAAGTCGGGGAAAAATGACTTTTTCTCAATTCATTCATTATTTTGGAAATAATTTTCTAATTT